AGGCAGACGCTCAACCATCTGAGCCACCCAGGCGCCCAGTGGCATTTCTGTTTTAAATGAGGCATTGCTTTCAGGTCCTCTTGGGGCTCCCCTGTCATGCTGCTGAGGCAGAGGTCCCAAACCCCCACCTGGGTCTGTCCCCACATCCTGGGAGATAGGGTGAGTGGGGCTGCTGAGTGACAGCAGGACACAACTTCTCAGCTGGCCTTGCCCTTGGCCACAGCTCTGGAAATATCCACTCTCCTCACCCCCAAGTCTCATGCTTGGGTGGTTTCCCCCTTCCTACTTCTCCATTCTAAGGCGGGGGTGGGGGGGGTGCACCTTGGGGAGTAGGCCTGAGGAAGGAGGAAGCAGCCGGTCAGACCCACAGGCGGATACCTTGTTTCAGGCTGTGGGACTTACTGCTTCCTGGGCAGCCAGCCCACGGGAGGGGTTTGTGGAAATCCTGCCCACTCCTCCCACCTCAGCCTCCGGTCCTACGTGGCTCCTGGCCCAGAAGCGTGCCCAGCGATCACAAATGGGGCTTTGTGTTCCCGAGACAAAGAACACACTCCTCACCCCCAACCTGGGCCAGAGCTTGTCTGCCTTGCCCCAACCTTGGCCTCGGAAGGGATGGTGCCACTTCCCAGGAGGGGAAACTGAGGTCTAGAGACAGGTCTGTGGAGCCAGAAGAGGGGTCTGCCCCTGCTTTGGGGGTAGAGGTGGAGCAGAGAGGCGGTAAGTTGGCAGTGATGAAGCCGCCCTCCTAGGCACTGAGGGGAGGTGGGGAGGAAGTAAGAAATAATACGACTATTATCACCACGAGAGAGGCCAGATTCCAGCCCTGGAGGGGAACACGATTCTGTTTAACCCAGCGAGTGCATTCTGAGTCTTTCTTATGTGCCAAGCGGTGTGGGAGGCGCGGCATGAATCAGACATTGTCCCTGACATTTAAGAGATAAGACGAGCGTGTAAAATACCACACAACAAGAGAACAGGAGACCAAGGTCACAGAATGGTGCCAACAGGCAGGGGTGGTGGGGGGTGGGGGGTGACGGTGGGGGTGGGGAGTGGTCGTCGCTGCCTTCCCGGAGGCTGTGGGCCATCAACAAAGCTGGGGCAGTGGTGCCTTCAGAAACAGGAGGCGGCATGGAGTATTTTCTGAGGATAAAGAGCAGCACAATTGTGTCTAGGAAAGCTTTCTGCTGCTTGGGACTCTTGACGTCTGCTCTGTCATCTGCGTATCACTTCCTACTTCCTACTGAGAGTGTATTCTTCAGCGGCAAGCGACTTTTGTCAGTTCCCCACGCGACTGAGAGCCCCAGGAGAGCAGGGCTGGGCGGTCTTGTACCCCGCTGCATCCCCACTGCCTGGGACACAAGTAGGCACTCGACACAGATCTACTGAATAAAAGGAATATTCATACGAAGCATATACATATAACATTTTGTGGCATCAGGTTGCTGCTGTGGAGATGGTCGTGTTTGCCCCATTACTTAGGTTTTCTTTTTTTCAGCATTTTTTCCCGTCATTCCAAGTCTTTGAGCATATCCTTTCTAACAGCTATGTCGTAGTCCATGACATTGACACGGCATCGTCTGTACTTTGTTTGCCCTACCCCTCCTCATCTTTATCCAATTGTATGGGTGGGAGATCAACAAGGAAACAGGAAAAGGAGGGGGAGGGCTTTCCTGATGGAAGGCAGGACAGGGCAAGGGCACTGTGGGTGTGGGGTGAGGGGATATGAGCAAAATCTTAAGAGTGTTGGGTTCAGGAGTGGCGTCTAGAAGGCTACGTAGCTGCGGAATCTGGTGCCCGGTGGTGTGTTGGTAAACTGACCCTCCCACCCCCCACCCCCTGCCTTGTAGCATTTGCCGGTTTCCATGGGGGTAAATTCTCCTGCCATGGACGGTGTCACATTCCCACTGTGGCATTGATGAACACCGAGGTAGAAAGCCATGGGCACTGCCATCCTTGACCTTGGGATCTCTCGATCAGATTTCTCAGCTGAGATGCAAAGCCCCAGATTCTTCCTGCATAGCAGCCTGGAGCCGTGGTGGCTACTGAGGTGTGGTTGCTCCATCAGTCCCTGGAATTCGGGGTGGGGCCTGGTGTTCCACTTTGGGGAGCTCGGTGTCAGGCACAGCCGTGGGTTCAGGATGTCGTACTATGGCCCTGACTCTTACTGAGCCCTTGCTGTATGCCAGGGTGTGTTGAATATCTGACTTTTTCTTCATCCCATCCTCACACCCAGGAGATGAGGTGGGTGCTGTTATTATCCCCAATTTATAGACAAGGAAACCGAGGCACCCAGCTCATAAGTGTAGGTGCCACGATTCAGTCCCAAGTTGGCTTGGCTGGATGCTAGAACCTCTGCTCTTAACCCCTGAGCTCAGCATCTCCTGCCACAGAAGGTGTTCTGCAGCTCTTGTGAGCATCCCAGGGGTGCTAGGCTAGGTAGAGAGCTGGCAAGAAGATGACCATGGGTTTGTCTTTAAGGGCTTCGAGTAAGGGGAAAGAGAGGAGGCTAACCATTTCTTGAGCACCTACTATGTGTCAGGAATGATGCCAGGTGCCTTACATTGCCTCTGGATCAACTCTCACAACAACCCTTGAGAAAAGTGAGGCCCTTCCCACATGACAGCCCAGGCTTAGGTGTTCATGAGCCCACCTTCCCCTCCCCGAGCTGGGTAGCCCCCAGCAGGTCACGCTCCTCTCCGCCTACTTCACCCTTTGGTCCCCTGATGGGAGATGCCCTGGGAGACCTCAAACCCTCTGCCAGTTTCAAGTCAAAGCTTCTCAGAACAACAGGAAGTGGCCAAGCCATTCAGAAAGTTTGAGGACTGTGGCCACAGCCCCAGACGCATTTCAGGGTCCAAATCCAGTTATTGGACAAATGCCAGAGCCAGCTCCCTGGAGGCCTGGCTGGCACATTCCATAGCCTTCACAAGCGTCCCGGGGGCCTGGGGAGGGGCACCTAGGAATGCGACTTCCTGCTCAGCTCCGGAAGACTGGCCAAGTTGGCTGGTGGCGGTTTGGCTGGCATCCCAGGTGGCCCCAGGACCCGGCCCCTCAGGTTCCACCAGGGGTCTCTGGGGGCCAGAGAGCCTATCTGAGATCTCTGCAGGATCTCAGAAGAAAAAGGGTTAGCCGGAAGCTCTCACCTAGGTGGGGGTGGGAAAGGGACAGGGCGCCTATCTTGAAGTAGCATGCACTTAGCAAGTACCGTTTTCCCCTGGTAAGGAATGGGGGGCTGACTAGTAAGGCACCTGGAGGGGGTTGGTGTTTAACACTCCCCTGGGGCTACCGCGGTTCTGGATTTGACCCTGGATCACCTCTCGTACCCTGCTGAAGGATGCTGCAATACTTCTAAGCCTTGGGGCCAGCCCTGCTAGACCCATATCCCAGATGGGGTAACTGAGGCCCAGTCTTTGGAAGTTGGAGGACTCAGCAGCTAGCGGACAGCTGGGGAGAGAACTCCAGGGATCAGAATCCCTTACCAGCTTGGCCGGAGCGCTTGCTGGGAAGTCAAGGAGGGAGCTTGGGAGGCCGATCACTAGCTACCCCTGTGGCTGTTCCAGGCTCTCCTGGTCCTGCCGGTCTGGGTGTCGGCTGTGGTAATCATTCGGCGGGGGCCTTCCTTCCCATTGGTGCCCAGCCCTGGGCTGACCGAAGTGAGTCAGGCTTGGTGCCAGTTCTTCCAAGAACTCTTAGGCGGGTAAACAACAAACTCACAGGGAGAAATAGTGTAAGGATCTGCCCTGGGACAGGCTCTTCCTGTAGCATTGTTTCGAATGTGTTTGTCAAACTCCAAGTTTTGACACTTGAAAAATGTAGAACCCTGGAGCTGAGGAACCGAGAATAAGAGAAGAAAACCTCTGTCTGGGGTGGAAGGGCATCTTGGAAGACTTCCTAGGAGAGATGATGTTTGAGTTATGCCTCGAAGGACAATAATAACAATAACAATAACAATAATAATAATATCAAACACTTTCTATAAACTTCTTATGTGCCTGTGACTGTTCTGGGACCTGTATCTTCTTCTTTCATATCTGCTTTATCTCATTGAATTCTCTCAAAACCCTGTGAGCAAAATACTATGTTATTCCTATTGAACAGATGAGGAAAGCAAGCCAAGGCACAGAGAGGTTAAGTGACTTGCTCAAGACCACACAGCTAGCCAGAGGTAGAGTCAGGATTCAAATCCTGGAAGGCAAGCCAGTCACTGCCTGAGGCCTTCCCCGAGCTATCTAACCCCTCTGAACCCGTTTCTTTATCCATAAAATGGGGGCGATAGTGCAAGAGGACTTAGTGCGTGGAATTATGGTGAGGACAAAGACGATACAATCCCCGGAAACCGCTTAGCGCAGTGCCCGGCACACAGTAAGCGCTCAAACGGTTGTAGGTGACTTCTGTCCCCGCTGTCGCGATCTTCAGGCCCCCCCCCCCCCCGGCCGCGGCCGCTTCCCCCGCAGTGCCAGCCCGTGACGTGGGAGCTGCCGCCCGCACAGTCTGGGTTTAACTGGAAACTAAACGAGGAGGAAGGGGATGTTCGGGGCCCCTCCCTTGACTCTGAACCGACCCCCTCCCCACCCCCGCCCGGGGATGTGCGACTCCTTCTTCAGCGACGCCTCCCGCGGACTGCGGGTACTCCTCCCGCACAGGGCACGGAGCTGGGACCGAGGAGGCGGCGCCGGGATGGGAGGCAGGGGAGGGCCGGGGAGGTGCGACTGTGCTGGAGGGAGGGCAGGCAGGGGACATGCTGGGTCTTCTGAGCCCCATGCCAGCTCACCACGAGCCAGCGGCCGCGCCGGCCACGGCCGCGGGCCGCTCCCCACCTGGCGGTCCCAGCGCGCGCGGGTCTCCGCGGCCCGGGCGCTCGGGCGCGCTTGGCTGGGGTGCCGGCAGAGGGCGCGCGAGGGGGCCCGGGGACGGGCGGGGGACACGCGGAGGCGGGATTGGGGGGAGGGCCCTGGGCTGCCCCTCCCGCACCCTGCCCGCCCACCCGGAGCTCCAGACTAGGAGGCAAGAGCGGCGGGTGCCCCCTGCGCGCTCTGCCTCCTCCGCGCACGCTCCTACCTGTAGAACCCGAGGGGCTCCCCCTCGCCGGCCACCTATTCTTTCTCCTCCGGAAACCTCCCGCCTAGCAACCCGCGTCTCGCATAGGCGGCGCTGGGACCCCGGGACGGGGCGCCAGGCTCGCAGCTGGTGACATGTAGACGCGCCCTCCGCGGTCCAGCCTCGGCACCTGGGCACCCTTCTGCCCGTAAAGTTTGGGGCTGGGCGCCATGGCCAAGAGCAGCTCCCTGAACGTCCGCGTGGTGGAGGGCCGGGCGCTGCCCGCCAAGGACGTGTGAGTACCCCGGGGCGAGTCGTGGGTGAGGGGCGCACCGGACATGGGATGGGGCCGGGGTCGCCCGTTCCGCGTGCCGGAGAGGGTCGGTGAGGTGGGCAGGGGGTTCTTGTCTAAGACACAGTATTTTTGCAGATCCACCTTCACGGGGCTAAAACCCCATGCCCATGGCTGTCCTAGTGGAAAGGGGCGCCCAGACTTAGCAGATGCGCCACCCTGCCCCCCCGGAAGGGGGGTGTCTTTGTTCCTAGGATGTACTAAAGGGGATTGGAGGGTCGGATTTTGTTGGAGCTGGGGAGGGCATGGGGGGGGTCCTCTTCCTTAGTTCAGGCAGGGTGGGTGCCTATCAAAAGAACCCTGGGAAGAAGGCCCAGAACGCCGGTTGGCCTCAGCATTCCTCTGTGTGTATCTGGTGTTTAGGTTCAAAGACAGGCATCAGGTGGCCCACCAGCCAGGCCTGGGGGAAAATGGGGTCCTCTGGACCCAGAGCCCTGAGCTCCCCATCGAGGAGCTCCCTGTGTGGCCTTCCCTGGATGCTGAGTCTCTTCAAGAGCCCCCCCCACACACACACGGTAGCACCCTCTCCAGCCAGATGTGATGGGGCTGGAGGACCCTTGGGCTCCTGTTGGTACCAGTCCTTGGCTCTGCTTCCTCCAGGGCTGAGTCAGCAGTTGCCGAATCAGCAGAATGGCAGGAGGGGTCCCCCTCCTGCTTGGCCTGGAGCCCAGAAGGGGCTGTGAGGTGTCAGCACCTGGGACAGGTGTGGGATCCTTGGCAGGCCATCAGCTGTGTGACCTTGAACGTGGTCCTCTTGGATCTCGATTTCCCACCTGGACAATGGGAGCTCTGGACAGGAGCCACCCAGCCCAGAGCAGCTGTGGGGGGTGGAGAACCTGTTAGGATTTACCCCATGGCCAGGGTGAGCAGAAATCTGGATTCTGAGCCTTTACCCAAGTTGAGATGAGGGCTTAGATATGCCCTGACTCCCCCAGCTGTGGGTCCCCAGTGAGGAGTCTCCTGCCTTTGATTTTATGAACCTCGCCCCTCCCCAACCCTGGGCTGCCGAGAGCAGTTTTAGCTTCTCCTCCATCGTCATCAGCTACCCCAAATAAACATGTACCTGGGATAGAAGCAGAGCACTTGCTGTGTGAATGCAACATCTGGACAAGCCCCTGCTTCCCTCTTCTGGGACACCCTCTCAGAGCCTCTGAGAATGACATTCTGGAACTGTTGGGGCAGTGAGGCCAGGAATTGGGGCCTGGAAACTGCCGGAGGGCTGAGGGGGAGCCCCTCCAGAAATCAGGTTTCCATCTCCTGGTCCTGCGTGAGGGCCATGAGGGAGTGGTGGGTGCTGCCCTTGGCCCTGGACACAGCTCACGGGATGGACATGGCTTGTAGGGTGGACATGGCTTGAGGGGCTCCTTCTGCCTCTCCTGCAGAGAGAGTTAACTCATACCTGGTTCCTACACCTCTTGGCCACCCTTTCTCCCCCAAGTTCTTGGGCCAAGGTGAGCCCCAGAGCAAGGATGGGAAGGAGTCACTAAGCCCTAGTTGAGCCAGCCTACCTCAGTTTCCCTAGCTGTTGGCTCCCTTCTTCAGAGGGGCTGTCCTCAGAGGCTGCTGGGATCTTCGCACCCATGGAGACTCTTAGATGGGGGTGTGTTCTCTCTCTGGTCTCCTAAGGGAAAGGGCCCAGACTCGTCCTGAAGCCTTGTCAGGTTTGGGGGGGGGGGTCTGACCTGACTCTGGAGGAGGCCTCCACTGACAATTTTTGAGTATTACTCTTATTAATAATAGCAGCTGTAAGTCGTTCCAGGGCTTACTCTGGGCCAGGTCCTATCCTTAACATTTCCTATGGTCCTATGAGCATTTCCATTTATAAATAGGGGAAACAGGGCCAGAGAGGCAAAGTCACTTGCCCAAGGTCACACAGCTGGGATTTGAGCCCTGACTGCTCCCATGAATAAACCACACTGGGCAGGCAGTGGCTGAGGGGCCTTCTTTCCCACACTTGAGTTGGGGCAGGGCCCATGGGAGAGGTCAAGGGTCTGGAGAGACTGAGGGTCTTCAGGGGTCACCCCTCCTGCTACCGCTGCCTCCTACCTGATGGGAGCCTGATAAGGCCCTTGTGCGTCAGAGCTGTGGAGCCGATGAGCGAGCTTGGCTCCCAAGAGGGGCCCCAGGGTCAGGCCTGGTGGACGGAGGGGGGCGTGTCTCCCAGCTCTTTGCTAGTGGGATCCCAACCAATCTTTCTCCACGTCTGCCGTCGGGGAAACTGAGGAACGGGACCGTACCTAAAAGAGGCTCAGGGATAAGAGAACCCAGCCAGAGAAATGAGATATAGGGGTTCCCCAGCCACAGGCATCCTGGGCCATAGAGCCAGATTAGGAAACTGAGGCTCCCAGGGTTACTCAGCCCGGTGGGTCTGAGATAGATTCAAGAAGGGGTAAGTGAGGCCTGGGGCACTACTCAGAAGGGGGTTCAGTGGTAGAACCCAGAAAAGAATTCAGGGACACAAGCCACCACCCAGGCTGAGGTGTTCAGGGATAGAGGCCAGATGGGGAAATGGAGGCCCTGGAGCACCCACACAGAGGGAGCTGAGGGCACGAGTCCAGAGGAGAAACTGAGGCACAAGGAAGGACTCATCCAGCAGACAAGGCTCAGATTGCAGCTGGCTGCTGGTGCCAACACCCCCTTCCCTGAAATCCTGTGGCATCCGTGGATTGGTGACTGATTGGAGGTGACAGAGAGGGTGGGGGCTGGAACATCAAAAGAGGGGGCCACTTGGGGAGAGCCTTGTGAGCTGTGGTGGAGGTGACACTGGTTAAGGGCATGTGTGCTGAGCCCCATAGACCTGGGTTTGAATCCCAACTCAGGAGGGGGGTTGTGAGAAAGAAGATGCAGGTCTTCCTCCAAGGAGCTCACAGTTCAGAAGTTTGAGGGAGCCAGGGAGACAGACACTAAACAGAGAGAGAAACAGGGAGCAAGATGCTTTCAGGTGCCCAGAGGGATCAGAATTCGATTTTACAAAGGACAGAGGTGGTCAGGGATGGCCTCTCTGAAGAGGTGACTTTGGGGCTGAGGTTTGAATAACAGGACTGAGGCAGCCATGACAAGATCAGGGACAGAGTGTCTTAGGCAATTGCAACAGCGAAGGCAAAGGCCCTGAGGCTGGACTGGGCTTGGTGGAAGACAAAGGAGGCCTGTGCGATGGGACAGAGGCGAGATGAGAACCCTGGTGGACAGCTCGGGATGGTGCTGGTAACTCTTATTATGAAGGGGGGATGGAGCTGGCTTTGGCTGGCTCATGGCTCATGCCTCCTCAAGGGGCTGCTGTTGGTTGTTGTTTTGAGATCTGGGTACCCTGGTCTGTACCAGCAGAGGTGCAGCCCCACTGGGCTGAGCATCGGGAGTCCCCCCACCCCCCGCCAGGGAAAGTCCCATGGAAATGAAAAGCTGGTCGGCAATGCTTTCCCCAGAGGGTAGTGTTAAGGCTCCCGGAGCAGAGCTCTGGGGCTGGCCCGTGATGCATCCCACCATGCATTTTCTCCTCCCCCCAACCCCCGGGAGACGTGTGTAAACGTTATAGAGAGGAAAACCTAGCACCCACAGAGAGGACGGGGCTTCTGGGTTCCACAGCTAGCAGGCAGTTAACACCGGGATGCCTCTCCAGCTTACACTGTTGACCACGGCTCCAGGCTTCCTGGGACCAGCGCTGGGAACTTTCTGGCCTCATGCCTCAATGTTCTGTTTCTATGGGTGGAGAACCTGTGCATGGGGGTTGGGCAAGCAGCGGGTGGGCTGTGCACCCATGACATCTGCTGGTCCCCCGAAGTCCTGCCTCTTAGCCCAACTTGCTGTGCGACCCCGGGCCAGTCCCCTCCCCTCTCTGGGCCGCAGTTGCCCTTATCTGTACAAAGTGAGGGTGGATTGGGACCTCCACTCATGGCTGCCCTCTCAACCTCCCTCCTGAACGTCCTCCTCCTGCAGGTCTGGGAGCAGTGACCCCTACTGCATCGTGAAGGTGGATGACGAGGTGGTGGCCAGGTGAGGAGTGGAGAGGCCAGGCCTGGGGAAAGAGGAGCGGGGGGCGGGGGCTGGAAGAGGAGCTCCTTCTAGACCTGGGGAGTCCAGACACAAGATTTCACGTTGAAAAGAGGAGCCAGGCGGCGGTAATGCTTATGCCAAGGGTGGACGTGTGGGGCTGACAGTGACTGCTTTGTGCTTTGGCCCCTCTGGGGACAGACAGCTGGGGCTGTCAGCTCCTCTCCCATCCTGCCCCACCGACTGGTGGACACCTTCCCCCCGGACCAGATGATGTCATGGGTGCACATGTGCCGGTGTCCTGGGGCTGACTCAGCGGCTGCCAACCTCCCATAGTGGCCTCCCCGGAGGCGGGCATCTCACGCTTGGCTGGACTGGCTGGTTCCGGGCCTGCTGGGTGCTGCGGGCACTGGGGCGTGCGTGCGTGTGCACACGTGCGTGTGCGTGTGCATGTGCGCGTGTGCGCGCACATGCATGCCCAGCTGGGCCTGTCTGTGAGTGTGTGGGGGGGTGTTGGAGGGCTGATGTGAATGCCTGTGACCACATGTGCGTGTCTCTGGGGGTGTGCGGCTCACAGGCTCACATTGTGTACCGGTGGTGTGTGTGGGGGGTGGGTGTGTGTGTGCACACCCCTGGGCTGCCCTGCATACACAGGTGAGCACCAGTGTCTGCTTGTTTGGGTACACAGACGCCATCGTGAACACAAGTGAGGACGTGAGGGTGTTTGATGAGTGAGTGAGTTTTGGGCGGGCGTGGAGGGATGCGGGGCTGGGCCGTGGTTGGCTCCCTCCCCGCCCCCGCAGGCCTGAGCAGTGTGGGTGGGCAGGTGGGCGGGTGGCTGAGGCCCGGGTTCCTATGGAGACAGCAGGATTCAGGATGCTTCTGGTGCTGGTTCCGGTCCAGATGGGCTGGGAGTGGGGGCTGGGGAACCCCATGGGGGAGTGTCAGCCTGCAGCACCCCAGCTGACCCCCTCCATTGTTCTCTATGCTCGTGCTGCCCCCTCTCCACATGCTATGATACCACCCCCAAACCCACAGAGAGATTTTCTGCGTGATCCCAGGCTGCTGTCTGCCCAACTCTGGGCTCTGAAGAGGGACTTCCAGCTGGGAAAAGGCCAGGACAGGGGGAAGAGGGTGTTTGGGAAGAAGGGTCCATCTGACGGTGGTGCCCTGCGCTGGGGTAGAGGGCAGAGGGTGCATCTCTGTGTGCCTGTGTAGTATATGTTCACTCTCTTCGTTGGGGAAGAGTGTGGGGAAAGGGAAGAAAGGAGTGGCAGGTGTATGATCCAATTCTGCAGCCATAGATTTGGGTGTGTCTTCATTGGGCAAAGTAGGTTCTTCGTTCCCTGCTGGGTAAAGGGAAGTGCATCTGCAGGGGTGTCGGGGTGAGGATGCTCTCTGTGTGTGTCTGTTTCTAGGCTTGCTTTGGTCCCTAACCCTTTTGTGGTTCCCTCTTGTTTCCTAAGTGCTCTGGCTCCTGCTGACTGCATGGTGTCTTGGCCCCTCACACTTCCCCATTTCCCAGCCAGCACCTTCCTGTTCCTCAGACTCAACAAGCTCACTCCTGCCTCAGGGCCTTTGCACATGCTGTGCCAGCCATCTTGTCCTCATCTTCTCGTCCCCCTTTGCCTGGTTAGCTCCTGCAGGAAGCCTTTTCTGACTCCTCCTGTCCACACCCCCAGACCCAGCCAGGTGCCACTGAGCTCACCCTAATCACGACTTCTCTCACCGTGTCATGTGTCATAAGAGCTCAGGAGAGAGCACCTGCCCACTGAAGGGAGCTCTGTGGGGGCAGGGACCTGGGCACCTCTTCCTCTGATTCTCCATAGCCCACAAGACTTGGCACACAGTCAGGGTGTTTATGGAGTGAATGAGTGAATGAATGGAATTTGCATGTTTTCAGTTACTATGCGGGGGATTCTGTGTTTGTGTATCTGCCATCTATCACTATATGTGTGTGAGTGTGTGTCTGTGGGTCTCTGTGGGTCTCTGTGTGCTGGGCAACTTATTTTTGGTCTGTGTGTCTATGTGAATGTGTCTGTTTTCTCTGTGTGTATCTGTATGTGTCCATATGTAGAAACACAGATGTGCATTTCTAGAAATTTCTGAGGATTCATATGTGTATCTGTGTATATGGGAATGCGTCTCTGGCTTTCTTGGTGTATCTGTGAGTGTCTCTCTTTTCATGTGCATCCTTATGGGAATGTGTGTGTGTGTATGTGTGTGTATGGAGGTCTCGGGGTATGTGAGTGTTGGGGTTTCTATGTGTGTATTTGTGGGGGTTTTTTGTTTGTTTTTTTAAGTATGCTCCACACACAGCATGGGGTCCAATGTGGGGCTTGAACTCATGACCCTGAGATCAAGACCTGAATTGAGATCAAGAGTCGGACCCTTAACTGACTGAGCCACCCAGGCGCCACTCCCTGTGTGTATTTGTGTGTATCTATGCACATCACGATATATTTGTGCAGTTTGTGTGCATGTGTGTGTCTGCCACCTGTGTGGCCCAAGGGTCCCCAGCCCCCTGTGCCCTTTTTACAGGACAGCAACTGTCTGGCGGAGCCTGAGCCCCTTCTGGGGGGAGGAGTACACCATACACCTGCCCCTGGATTTCCACCATCTGGCCTTCTATGTGCTGGACGAGGATACAGTGGGGTGTGTGTACTGGGGACCCATGCTTGGGCACCTGGGGGAAGGCGGGATGCCCCGAAGCAAAGTATCCATCCAGCCGGCCCTTGATGCCTGCTCCCTCGACTTAATGACTCGGACCCTCACTGCCCACCTTTCCACAGGCACGACGACATCATTGGCAAGATCTCGCTGAGCAGGGAAGCAATTGCAGCCGACCCCCGAGGTGGGCAAGGGGCAGCGACCTTCAGCTGGGCAGAGGGAATAGGGGTGGCCATGCCCAGGTTGGACATTTGCAAGCATGTAGCAAGTGGCAGGGGAAGCACAGAGTCTTCAGTAGAAAATTATTTCAGTTGTTGATTTCTCTCTCTCTTTTTTTTTTTTTTTGGAAGAGAGAGAGTGAGAGAGAATGCATATGCCCATGCGGGGTGAGGGAAGGGCAGAGGGAGAGGGAGAGGGAGAATTTTAAGCAGGTTCCTTGCTGGGCATGGAGCCTGACACCGGGCTCAATCTCATGACCCGGAGATCATGACCTGAGCTGAAACCAAGAGTCAGATGCTTAACTGACTGAGCCACCCAGGCACCCCATCAGTTGTTGATTTAAAAAAATTTTTTTAAATTTAGTTTTTCCATTGAGTAGTTAATTACTTTACATAGTTCAATATTCAAAAGATATAATTAGTGGGGGAAACTGTCTCTCTTAACCTAACTATTCCATTTTCGTTTTCAAGGTTGTGTTTCTTGTCTGTCCTTCTAGAGATATTTTATTTTATTTTATTTTTTAAGATTGTATTTATTTATTTGAGAGAGAGCAGAAGCAGGGGGAGCGGCAGAGGGAGGAGGAGAAGCAGGCTCCCTGCTGAGCAGGGAGCCTGACATGGGGCTGGATCCCAGGACCCTGGGATCGTGACCTGAGCCAAAGGCAGCCACTTAACCGACTGAGCCACCCAGGTGCCCCTAGAGATATTTTAAATAGGTTTATTTATTCCAAGTGCTTTACATGAACCAATTTATTTAATTATCATAATAACCCGGGGAGGCAGGTACTCTTATTCTGCCCGCTCCGTAGGTGAACACCCTGAGGCACAGGGGTTTGGTTCTACGGCTTGCCCTAGATCACAAAGTTATTAAGTGGGATGGCCAGGATTTGAATTGAACCAAGATTGTCTACCTCCATCCAGTCTGCGCTCTTAACACAGCACTGTATGTGTTTTGTTCTCTGCTCATAGGAATGGCACCTGTTATACTCATTGTTCTCTACCTTGCCTTTCATATCACCACATACCTTGGAGATCTTTCCATATTGGTGCCCCAAGAGCTTCCACTTTCTTTGACCTTTGACTTCCTGGCACTCCACTGTGTGGATATATCATCATTTATTTGGCTGGTTCCCTACTGATGGGCACTTGGGTGGTTTACCATCTCTCCCGAGTTCAAACAATACAGCCATGAATAGCCTTGTACAAATGTGATTTCACACATGTGCAAGCTATATTAATCAGTCTGATAAATTCCTAGAAGTATATTTGTCATAGAGTATCCATATTAGCACATTAGAGAGTTATTGCTAAGTTACCCTCTATGGAGGAGGTAACAATTTGCCCACCCTACAAGTTTGCCAGCAATTACCAAACTCTTTGATCTTGTATCTGAGAGGTAAAAAATTGCCTCTTTAGGTAGGTTATTTTGTATTTCTCTATGAATGAGATTGAAGGCCTCTTTATATATTTAAGAGTCACTTTGTTTCCTTTTTTGTTTGTTGTTTATTTACATTGTATGTGCATTGCCCCCCACTGGGTGGTTTGGCTTTTCTTATTGATTTATAGGAGCTCTTTACATATTAGGTAAATTTAACTCTGTCATATTAGCTGCAAATAGTTTTTCTCCCTTTGTCACTTATGTTTTTGCTTATCATTTTTTCTATGTATAAAATTTATTTCTTTTTCTCTAGTTAACTTCATCTTTTTATTTTTATGGCTCTTGATTTTCTGTGATACCTAAAAAGGCCTTCCCAACTCTAAGATAAAATTTTTTTACATGATTTCTTCCTGCAACAATTTGTTTTCCTTTTTTACATTCAAGTCTTTGCGCTACTTGGAATTTTTCCAGATTCAAGGTATGGAGAGGGATTGCACTTTATTACTTTTTGTCTAGATGAGTACTAATTGTCTCAATGTCAATAACTGAATAATGTATTTTTTCATCAGTGGGGATTAGTTGAAAACCTACATGCTAATCATCATAATCATTGCTCCTATTTAATGAGGGCTTACTATGTGCCAGGCATGATGCTCAGCACTTTATATTTAGTCTTCACAACACCAAGTGAAGTGTGCACTAGAATGATCTTGAATTTATGGCTGATGGGAAATGAGGTTTGGAGAGGTGAAGGCAATTGCCCCTCCTAGAAGTTGCAGAGTTGGGAGTTGAGTCCAGGCTGCATCTGCTTCCAAAGTCTGGGTTTTCATCCTGTCCACCAAGCTGTACCCATTGTGCCCCAAACATCCACCCAAGGGGGTGGAATTAGATGAATGAAGTATGAGGCCAAATTTTAAGGAGCTTATGGGCCAGATAGAAACACAAAACACGTTCACACACAAGCAAGGAGCAAGAAAAAAAGGGAAACTGTCCATGTGTCTGAATGTTTTTTTAAGCAGGAGAGGAAGGTAGGGGTGGAGGCATGTGGAATATCACTGGCACGACAGTGGTTGAGGATAAGAGGGCAGTGAGGGCTAGTGTAGTCAAGGAAGGTTTCCTGGATGAAGGGGAATGAGTTGGTTCTTAAAGGTACCTCAGCAAACACACTAAGGCGTGTCTCTGTAGATTCTCTTCTAGTGTCAGTCATAGGCCAGGCCAGCTGGAGCACTGGGTGGGTCACTATTGGAGAAGCCCGTAGGTGCCAGCCTAGAGTCTGCACTTTCTCCTGGAGGCACTGGGGAGCCACTGATGGTCCTTGAGCAAGACAGCGAAGAGAGTGGAGCCATTATTATCAGAAGATGGAGTGACAGGAGAGACTAGATACATTTTCAGAAGATCTCTGTGCTGCTTTGTGGATACTGGATGACAGCGGGACAGGGGTGCATGTGGGAGATCAATTAGGAGTCTGTTGCCGTGGTCAAGTGAGAGGAAGCTGATGGCATCCTGGAATTGGGGGTAGCAGTGAAGACAGAGAGAGGTGAGGTGGCACTACACTTCATCACACACACAAGGAAGTGGGCCACCATGAGCAAGAGTCAGCAGACACAATAACCACCAGATTTGAACCCATGAAGATTTTAGAATTTATTACTTATGATATACAGAATTTTAAAAGGAATAAAATATTTAAATAAATAGAAATGTAATCACCAGAAAGGGCCAGCAATAATCATAATAAAGTAAAACAATTCATTAAAAAATAGATTTGAGGGGCTCCTGGGTACAAACTTCCAGTTAGGGGGCGCCTGGGTGGCTCAGTTGTTAAGCGTCTGCCTTCGGCTCAGGTCATGATCCCTGGGTCCTGGGATTGAGCCCCGTGTCAGGCTCCCTGCTCCGCGGGAAGCCTGCTTCTCCCTCTCCCACTCCCGTTGCTTGTGTTCTCTCGCTGTGTCTCTCTCTGTCAAATAAATAAATAATATCTTAAAAAAAATAGATCTGAAAAAGAACCAAATCGAACTTTTAGAGATTGAAAAGTAGTCACTGAAATTGAAAACTGAGTGGCTGAGTTCAACAGCACATCATTTGGAGCTGAAGAGAGAATTAGTGAGCTGGAAGAGAGATCTGAAGAAATTATTTAGACTTTAGCCCAGAGAAATAAGAAGGAAAATATGAAAGAGAAGTTCAGAGACATAGAAAATTACTGAGAAGGTCTAATATCCATTTAATTGGAGTCCTAGGAGGGAAGAATAGAAAAAATAAGGGAGAATGTGTGGGGCTCTCAGCGGGTCAGGGCAGCCCAGTGCCCGTCGCCATGTCCCGGAACCTGCGCACTGTGCTCATCTTCGGAAGCTTCATCTCCCCAATTGGCGCCGCCTTCTACCCTATCTACTTCTGGCCCCTAATGCGGCTAGAGGAGTACCAGAAGGAGCAAGTCATAAATCGAGCTGGTATTATTCAAGAAGATGTGCAGCCACCAGGGTTAAAAGTGTGGTGATCTCAGGACCCTTTACCACTCTTAAAATTTTTTGAGGACCCCGAAGTGGGTAATACCTGTAGGTACTATATTAGAAATTAAGACAAAATTTTCAAATGTTTATTAATTTACTTAAGAATATCAATAACAAACCCGTATAGAGTAATATGACATATTTTTGTGTGAAAAATTTGTTTTCCAAGATAAAAAATCATTTGCAAATTTCAAAAAAAAAAAGAAAGAAAGAAAAAATAAGGGAGAGGAAGTGATACAAAAATTGATGACCTGGAATTTTCCAGAACTCAAGGAAGGACATGATTCCATAAGTAGAAATAGCACGACCCGCAGTAAGCAGGATTAAAAAAAAAAAAAAATCCTTACCCACCTATGTGGTGAAACTGTAGAACATCAAACTCATAGTCCTTAAAATTAAAGAGGAAAGAGGGCGCCTGGGTGGCTCGGTGGTTAAGCGTCTGCCTTCGGCTCAGGTCATGATCCCAGGGTCCTGGGATCGAGCCCCACATCGGGCTCCCTGCTCCGCGGGAAGCCTGCTTCTCCCTCTCCCACTCCCCCTGCTTGTGTTCCTGCTCTCGCTGTCTTTCTCTGTCAAATAAATAAATAAAATCTTAAAAAAAAAAAAAGAGAAAAGATACACCATTGACACAAGATCCGTTATCAGGCTGAAATGACTTCCCAACAGCTACAGTGGAAGCTAGAAATCAGTGGATGATATCGTCCAAGTGTTGAGAGAAATGAAGGGGGTGGGCAGAGGGAGGTTGAAATTGACTTGACTGATTCCCACAGGGAGAACTGCCCCCTGCCGGGTGGGAGGCTCAGAGGAAGGAATGCCCCACGTGTTTGTGCGGGGAGAGTATGTTGAGACTAAATGATGGGAGGGCTTTGTATATTAGAGCGAAGAGTAAGATAGTGCAGGGTGAAGGGCACCGGACTATACTGCTCACATTCAAATCCCAGCTCTACCACTTACTAGCTGTGGGAACGTGGGCAAAGCTCTTCCTTCACTGTGCCTCATTTTCCTCCTCTGGACGTGTGGATAATTACAGTACCTACATCAGAAGGCTAACATGACAAGTCCATGACTTAATACATATTTAGTGTTAATTGAATTTTTAAGTTAACACAGTGCCACTGTCTGGTAGGTACTTAATAAATGTTAGCACCTGGACCTTCCAGGAATTGATAGCTGGATCAACCTGAGCCGTGTGGACCCAGATGCAGAGGTTCAGGGTGAGATCTGCTTGGATGTACAGATGCTGGAGGATGCACGGGGCCGTTGTCTTCGTTGTCATGTGCTCCAGGCCAGGTATGGTCATGATGGGGGATGGTGTGGGGTTGGTCTGAGAATGAGCAAGAGTTGGCTGGATTCTCCCAGCTGTTTTTGGCTTTTGAGGCCACGTCACTCCTGGGGCACTTCTGGGCCCACAGCCAGGATCCCTTGTAGGCAAACAGTCCAAGTTCACCAGGTTTGCAAGTTCCTGGGGTCAGAGCACAAGCAGAATCCTTGCTGGGTCCCCAGTGACCAGCAACCAAAGGTCAGACACTCAGAATGGCCAAAGTGTGGAGGTGTATTAATCAAATTGTAAGTGATAGATACCCAATTCACACTAGCTTAAGCAGATGGGCTTATATGAATGCTATGCAGCTTCAGCATGGCTGGATCCAGGTGCTCAAACAGTGACGTCAGGAATCTGTAGACATCAACTTCTCGGTTATCTTTTGTGTTAGCTTCATTCTCAGGCAGTCTCCCTCCAGGTGTGGGCAAAGATGACCCCAGCAGTCCCAAGATGGCATCCTACCAACTTGGCAGGTCCAATTGAAAAAGAAATTTCCTTCATCATTTCCAACTAATGGCCTAGGACTGATTCTTATTGGCCCAATCTGGGGCACATACCTATCTCTGAACCAATTACATGGACTCTGATGGGTCAGGCCTGAGTCCCACACCCACTCCTGGAGTGAAGAGAGGAATCAGCCTACTTAAGTTATGTGAGCTGGGAGTGTGAGAAAGGGGCAGGTCCTGTCCCAGAGAAACAGGAGAAGGAAGTTGGATGCAGGATCAGCACAACCCCCCAGGTTACCCTCTAGGAGCACTAGCTCGTGGGATATCCATCTTCCCTCCTGCCTATTTATTGCTGTGTAATTCCCTCCTCTCTTCCTCAGCTCCCCCATCATTCTGCTTCCTTAAGGACTCCCATCCCTTTCCCCCTCTCATCTCTCATCTTGTCTTTCTGCCTTGTTTTCACACCTTACTCCCCCAACCCTCACTTTTAGACCAGTCCTCACTCAGGTTGGGGAGGTTCGCTATTTCTGGTTTGCTGTGTGACCTTAAAGCCTTTTCTTGCCCTCTCTGTGCCTCTCCCACCGTCTCCAGATCTCTGTCTCCAGCTGGGATTCTCTGGAGTCTGGATGGAGTAGCAGGGTGGCAGAGGACAGGCAAAAGGACTGCCCATGGGACAGGAGGCTCCTCATCTGCTTTGTGCCAGTGGCCTCCTCCCCAGCCACAAGGCTGTGCAGGATCCTTGCAAGCAGGAGAGGGACTGATTGCTGTCGCTTAGCAACTGGGCTGGCTCCTAGGAAACCAAAGAAGGCTTTGGATGCCAAGCAGGGGTGGGAGAGGAGAAGCAAGAGGAAGCAAGCAGCCCCTGGTGGGGGGCTGTCACTGGGTTTGGGGGACCTCAGGAAGGAGGGGTTGGGGGAAACTAACTGAGGTGAGGCTTTGGGGTTGTCGTGGCAACAAGAGGCAGGGGGTCCTTGCTTCAAGCCTTTTCTTGGGTCCTAGGCAGGGTGTGGATATGAGCATTTGTTGAATGAATGAATGAATGAATGAACGAGCACTCCCATCTGGCCAGCTGCTATGCTAAGCCTGTTACACACATCATCTCGTTCAAGCCTCGGCCCTGTGAGGTTTGATCTGTTATTATTTCTATTTTCCAGATGAGAACACTGAGGCTCGGGGTGGTGAAGGGACTTTTCCTAGTGTCACCCAGCCAATGAGTGGTGGAGCCAGGCTTTGAACCCTGGCGTCTGGTCTCCTACCCAGGGGCTCCAGGGAAACTGAGGCTCCCTTCCCACTCCCCACTGCATCTTCACCTCCTGGGCTTTGTGATTTAGGATTTGAGCTTCTGGTGCCTCGGTTTCCTTATCTGGAAGATAGGGGCATACTAGGGCCTCCTGATAGGGTAGCACTGGTCAACAGGAAGATACTGGGCTTGGATGGGCAGGGTGAGGGGTGCTCCTTGCTGCGTCCCTACAGTGGAGGCCGGAGGCATTTGAACGGTCTATCCTGAACCCCTTTTCCAAGGTCCAGCCTGGGTCTTGGTCGTCACGGGTCCTGCATCCCTCACGCCTTCATCTTCCGCAGGGACCTGGCCCCCCGGGATATCACCGGCACATCTGACCCATTCGCACGAGTGTTCTGGGGCAGCCAGAGCTTGGAGACATCAGTGAGTGGGGGCATGGATCGGGGGAGGGGCAGGCATGGAGGCAGGGCCTCCTCAGCTCTCCCTCACTCCCCCTCTCCCCAGACCATCAAGAAGACCCGCTTCCCACACTGGGATGAGGTGCTGGAGCTGCGGGAGATGCCGGGTGCCCCAGCCCCACTGCGAGTGGAGCTCTGGGACTGGGACATGGTGGGCAAGAATGACTTCTTGGGCATGGTAAGCACCCCCTCCCCTGACACCCTCCATGGCTCCCCACTGCCTCCAAGAGGGAAGGAGAGGGGAGATGGGCTTGCATCCTGGGATCTGGAAGGATAGGTGTGAAAGCTGTCTTAGCTGGCTCCTTGGCCAGGCCTGGGCGATGGAGTCCCATTGCCTCATTTTACAGGTGAGGAGACAGAGGCTCTCCAAGGGGCAGGAACCTGCCCAAGGTCCCAGGGTGGGCCCAGATTCTCATTCTGGGGTGAGAGTACTCAGGATGACCATGTGCTAAGTGCTTCTCCAGCATAATCTCACTTACGTACTCTTCATGGCCACCCCGTGAGGCTGGGACTGTTGTCTGCATTTTATAGTTGGGGAAACCAAGGTTCATTCAGAGAAGTTGAGTGGCTTTCTCAAGGCCATATGACTAACAAAGGGCAGAGCCAGAATCTGAGTTCAGGTTTCTCTGACTCCAGAATCTCAGCCCTTAACCCCTATTCCTGGAAGGCACCGGGCTCAAGGTCTTTCTCTTGGAACCTCAGTTTGCACATCTGTAAAATGGGTGTGACTGCCCCTGCCTCTCAGTGGGAATGGATGCATAGTCAGGGCTGACAGTTTTTTTTCAAAGGATGCAAGATTAGAGCAAGTTATAGGGAGGCTTGGTTCTGTACAGCCGGCAGGGCAGGCAGGTGGGGTTGTAAATGGGGTAGCCGCTTTGGAAAAGAGTCTGGCCCTTCCTCAAATGGTTAAAGACCATCATCACATGCCCTGGCAACTCCACTCCTGGGTATGCACCAGAGAGAAATGAAAACACATATCCACATAAAAACTTGTACATGAAGGTTCACAGCAGCGTTGTTCGTGACAGCCAAGAGTGGAAACAACCCAAATGTCCCTCCAGAGCTGAATGAATAAATACAGCATGGTGTATCCTTACAATGGAATATTACTCAGCCATAAAAGAGAATGAAGTCGTGGCACCTGCTACAACGTGGATGAATCTTGGAAACATGCCAAGGGAAAGAAGCCAGTCCCCACAGATTATATGGTTTCATTTATCTGAGATGTCTGGAGTAGGTGAACGTGTCAAGACAGAAAGTAGACCAGTGGTGGCCAGGAGCTAGGGGTGGGGGTGGGAGATGGGGAGTGACAGCTAATGAGCACAGGCGTTTGGGGCGCTGATAGAAAATTCTCTGAAATTAGTGGTGATGGTTGCACAACTCTGTGAGTAGACCAGAAGCCATTGAATTACACACTTTAAATACGTGACTTGTACGGGATGCAAATTACATCTTTATAGTTATTTTACAAGAGAGGGGCTGGGGCTCAGGGGCCTTCTGGACTCTCTTTAAGCTTCCAGACAGGTGAGATTTGTGTCCCCAAAAAGAGCTGAAAATGCCTTCAATCCAGATATGTGGTCTCTGGCAGCTGTGTGACCTCGGACAAGTCGCTCCATCTCCCCAAGCCTCAGTTTCCCCAACTGTAAATGAAGTGTCCTCTGGAGGCCCTCAGCGTCCTGGCAGGAGCTAGTACTTTGGGACTGGGAGAGGGAGTGTGGCTGCTCTTGTCAATGGGGTTTGGTAGGGGAGGGGAGGTGGCCCCTGGCAGGCTACGCCTCCCCTCCTTGGGTGGGCAGTCAGAGCTTTTCTTGACCTGGGTGGGCCCTTGGGCCGGGCAAGTTCGGGTTCAGCTGAGGGTCTGCGTGTCCCCCTGCAGGTGGAGTTCTCCCCACAGGTCCTGCAGCAGAACGCACCCAGTGGCTGGTTCCGTCTCCTGCCCTTTCCCAGAGCCGAGGAGGATTCTGGGTAAATGTGGGTGCGGAGGGAGGCGGCCAGGCTGAACTCAGGTCAAGTGCCATCTTCAGCTTGCGGGCAGGTCCTGGTGGGTGCCCATGTTAGCCCACAAGCTGTCACCATGTCACTTCGTTCACTCATTGAGCAAATGTCTGTCTTACAATGTACATTTACTTATGTCCAAATGAGTTCACCTTGGACCCATCCACCTGTTTGCACCTGAACATATCAGCTCACACTAGTCAATGTGTGTTCAGAACCCTGGGTCTTTCCACACCTGCGCACACCTGTTCACATTGTCCGTTCTTGTAGACACCTTATACTGGCCACACTGTTAACATGGACTTTACCTGGCCATTCCCGTGTATCCCTGTCAACATCTGTTCACATATACCCACACCTGTCCACACTTCTCCACACTTGTCTGCATCGGACTACACCATCCACACCTGCCCCCATTGTCTGTTCACAGTGAACATAATTTTGTTTTTCACACTGGCCACGTCATTCCACACCAGCAGTATCTGTTGACTGTCTGCACTCGTCTGTTCCTGTGCATCTCTGTCAGTATCTGTTCACACCTGCCCACACTGCCCACACCTGTTCACACCTGCCCACACCTGTCCCCGTCTGCCTTGTTTTGCTAACATCCATGCTCCTTATCTGTGTTCGCACCTGCCTCTCTTGGCCGTCCGCACCTGCGTGTACATACTTACTGCTCCCTCACCTGCGATCTGACCCCGGTCAGGGGGACCCTGGGCGCGCTGCGGCTGAAGGTGCGCCTCATCGAGGACCGCATCCTGCCCTCCCGGTATTACCAGCCGCTCACGGAGCTGCTCATGGAGTCTGTGCTGGGGCCGGCAGAGGTGGGTGCATCCATTCTACTGGGGATCTGGATGATGGCTCCCCGTGCTTCAGGGATCCCTCCCGGGGTTCTTGCTTTGGGGTCCCAGGACCCTGGGCCACCTCCCCTGTTGGCTGTCCTTGCCCAGGAGGATGCTGCTAGTCCCCTGGCTGTGCTGGAGGAGCTGACCTTGGGGGACTGCCGCCAGGACCTTGCCACCAAGTTGGTGAAGCTCTTTCTTGGCCAGGGCCAGGCTGGGCCCCTTCTGGACTATCTCACCCGGCGTGAGGTGACCCGGACCAGTGAGTTGCCTGCATGAGCCCCAGACATCACACCCCAGGGATAGGTCCACACAGGGTCTCTGAGGGAGAAACGGGGGGCTTCAGGCAGAGGTCAGGGGCTCCTACGTGTGTGGGGGGGGCGGGGGGTCCCTACACTGTGCACCAGCAGCCAACTGGGGATGCAGTCTTGGATTCAGGTGCTGGCGTTGCTACTCTTGAGCTGTCTGACCTTAGGCCGCTCATTGAACCACTCTGGGCCCCTGGCCTGTGAATGGAGTTGATGTTGCAGTTCTACCTGATTCCTGGGGCTGGAAGAATCATGACTCCCACCTTGGGTGGGTGGGGTGAGGTGGATCTGGCCTCCAAATCCCAGCAAACACTTCCCTTTGTCCTCCCAGCTGACCCCAACACCCTCTTCCGTTCTAACTCCCTGGCATCCAAGGCAATGGAACAGTTTATGAAGGTGAGCACGCAAAGGTCTGGTGGGGTCCAGCTGCAGCTTCCTCAAGGGGACTCCTTTTCTGTGCTTACTGGGAGCCCAGAGCTTGGCTGGCCTCGGTTGGCTCAGGGTCGCTGAGCCGGGCTGCTGGTAGCTGGTGCCTGGCCTCTCCCTGAGACGCACCTGGGTAGTGCCCCTCACCCCTGCTCTTGGGCATGCCTCAGCCTCGCTCTGAGCCTCTCCGCACATGGTCCCCCAGCCCCTGGCTCGTGGGCACGCCCCCGCCTCCCCCTCAGCCCTGTCCCATGTGGTGCCCCCTGCCCTCAGCTCGTGGGCATGCCTTACCTGCACGAGGTCCTGAAGCCAGTGATTAACCGCGTCTTCGAGGAAAAGAAGTACATGGAACTGGACCCGTGCAAGATGGACCTGGGCCGCACCAGGTGAGCAATGCCTCAGGGGCGAACCCGAACCCCCTGGCAGACCCCTTGTCTGCCCAGAGCCTTGCCATGCTGGGTCTGTGCCAGTGGCCATCCCTCCCTCCGGCATGATTGCTCAGGAGCTCCGCATTGCCGCAGAAAGCCTCACTGGGAGCACCGCCATCCTCGGGCTGGGTAGTGTAGTGGTGACGGGCAGGACTCTGAAACTGAGCTCCTGGGTTCGAATCCCAACTCTGAGGCGGGCAAGACAGACCCTACACCTGTAGTGGGAACAAGAAAGAAGGGACAAGAACCTTGTAGGTAGAAAAGTGTTATTCCATCATCCACTCAACAAAACAATCGTTGAGAACCTATTGTTCAGACACTGGATGAACACTGGTCCCGAGCAGGGAGTAAGTGGACACAAATCTGTCTTCCAGGGGGAGGGAGATAGCCAACTAAAGAAGGTTATTGAAGGCGCTCAGGGGAATGGAGAGAGAGAGAGCAGGGAAGGGTTGTGGGAGCAGAGCAGGGGTTTGCAGGATTTCATAGGGTGGTCAGAGGGACAGCCTCACAGAGAAGGGGACCTTTCAGCAGAGACTTGAAGGAGATGAGGGAGGGAGGCATGCACAGATCCAGGGGAAGAGTATCCCAGGCCAGGGGAAAGAGCAAGTGCAAAGGCCCTGAGGTGGGAGAGTGTGTCCGGCATGTCCCTGCTGAAAACGCACCAGACCAGGGTCCGTGATGATGTGTGGTGGGAAAGGGATGGCCTCTTTAAGGAGGGGACATTTAAGCTAACTGTGGGTGCAAGAGTGTCTCAGGCGGAGGGAAGAACATGCACGAGACTCTGCGACAGGAGTGAACTCCGCGTGTTTAAGCAGCAGTAAGAAGCTTGGTGGGAATGGGAGGAGGGGAGGTTATGGAGGGGGGATGGGAAGGTGGGTGCTTTCAGCTCAGTGGGGGCTGGGGGAGGGTTTTGAGCGGACAGAGGCTGGGCTCGGAGGCACAGCCACTCTGTTTCCCCAGGAGAATCTCCTTCAAGGGCGCACCCTCGGAGGAGCACGTGCGGGACGCCAGCCTGGGGCTGCTGACCGGCTACCTGGGGCCCATCGTGGAGGCCATTGTGGGCTCTGTGGGGCGCTGCCCGCTTGCCATGCGGCTCGCCTTCAAGCAGCTGCACCAGTGCGTGGAGGAGCACTTCCCCCAGGCGGAGCACGAGGTGAGCCACGCGTTCCCATGGAGCTGATGGGGAGACTGAGGCTGGGGAGGGGCAGTGGCTTGTTCAGGGTCACACGGAGAGTCGGAGCAGGGTGGGGACAGAGCTGGGCTGCTCACACTAAAGTACTGTGTGTCCTGTCAGAAGTGGGGATGGTATTCCTGGCAGGGTCTGGGATCCAGGGGTGGTGGTAATAGTAGTTAGAGCAGCTAACTCGATATATAGCCCTTGCCAGGGTTCAGACCCACTTGTACATATGCCTTGCCTTACCTAGTCTTTGTATCCACCCTATGGGGTGGGTACCAGTATTCTTCCATTTCCCAGAGGAAGAGGCAGAGGCCCAGAGAGATTGAGTCACATGGTCCTGGGGTAGGCAGCTGTCTAGGCAGGCTGGCTTCTGGATCGGTGCTCAAAACCACCAAATATAGAGTCTGGCACAAAGTGAGTGCTTCTTAAATGCAGCTCTTAGAGAAAGAGAGCGAGAGAACACAAGAACGAGCGAGCACACTGGTACACAGTAGGTGCTCTGTAGCAGGCACCCGAAATAGCCTAAAAACAAATCCCTGCATGTGCCAGTGCTTTGTCACTATTGACATAAAAGTTGAGACCCCTGGTGCTGCCTCAGGCAGGTGAGGTGAATGAAGGCAGCAGTCTGGAGTGGGGCAGTAGGGAGTGGTAGGGACTGTGGCAACAGGAGCTCCCACGGCTTGTCTTAAGGGGGCAGCTCCAGACAATCAGTCATTGCCATGTAGGAATGGGGACCCAGTACTGCCAGATCGTGAGAGTTTATTTTCTAAAGCCAACATTCTGGATTTTATGTGAGGTCTTCTATTTTTTTAAATGTTGGCACTGATTCACCTAACAACAACAACAACACAACAACACTTTGAGCCAGTTGTTACACGTTTGCAGCTGGACTGGCCCGTGGGTTACCCATTGGAGCCCCCCTGGTTTAATGGTCAGCATCCCTTCTGGGTGGCCGTTTTTTTTTCATTATTATTTTATTTAAAGATTTTTATTTATTTATTTGAAAGAGAGACAGCAAGAGAGGGAACACAAGCAGGGGGAGTGGGAGAGGGAGAAGCAGGCTTCCCGAGGAGCAGGGAGCCTGATGCGGGGCTTGGATCATGACCCGAGCCGAAGGTAGACGCTTAACGACTGAGCCACCCAGGCGCCCCTGTTTTTTTTTTTTTAAAAGCAATTTTTTTTTTAAGATTTTATTCATTTGAGAGAGAAAGAGAGAAAGCACGAGAGAGAGGAGGATCAGAGCCAGAAGCAGACTCCCCACTAAGCAGGGAGCCTGATGCGGAACTTGATCCAGGGACTCTAGGATCATGACCTGAGCTGAAGGCAGACACTTAACCGACTGAGCCACCCAGGCGCCCCCAGGTGGCCGTTTTTGTCCTACCTTAAAAATGACATCACATCAGGCTCTTGGGTAGTGCTGATGTAATAGAAACACGGACTGGGGGGTCACTTTGCAGAAAAATCTAAGACCCCCTAAATGTTGGAGATGTAACAGCTCAGTCCCTAGAGCTTGAGTTAAGAGCCCTTGATTATGCCACACCTCTCCCCACGTTCTGTTTACCAGTGGGGAAACTGAGGCCCCGAGAGGTAAAGAGCCTTGGCCAAGGGTTGTGGACTCAAAGCGAGGCCTCTGGTCTCCCAGTGTGGGTCTCTCCCTTCTCCCCTCGGCCCCCTGCTGAGGAGTGAGCTCTGGGCCTCCAAACTGGGACGTCGCTTGATTTACGCCCCATTTTGCCAGGCTCTCGCCTGGGCTGCAGGTGCTAAGTGGGACACAGCTGTGGCTGGGAGGTGGGAAGGGAAGCAGGGAGGCCAGCTCCCTAGACAGCCTGGCCTTTGTGGGGGACCCAGTGTGACACCCAAGTGCCCTGCAGTTCTCAGCTCCCATGGTGGGCAGAGGCCATGGTCAGGAAGCAGGGACTTTCTCAGGCCCGTGAGGGTGGATGGGGTCATGGAAACCCAGGGGAACTCCTTTCTCTGCCGCTCTGACACCTGTTCCTCCTGCTTAAGAAAGGAAGTTGAAGAGATGATGTCAAAGACTAAAATTACCCTGGAAGATGGCAGGTGTGGGGGGTGGGGGGGAGGGGCGGTGGCCCTGGGGGCAGCTCAGGTTCCAGATGAGGGCAGATGGGGGCAGAGACCCTCCTCCTGGGCAGTATTGGGTACCCTCTGTCGGCAGGGCTCACTGTCAGCGCACACATGCCGTAGGAAGTTGGCATTGACCCAGGGAGGGTATTGTCTCAAGTGTGAATACAACCCCTAAATAAATACTAGAGCACATTCTCGGGCTAAATATAGCTGGGCAAGTGTGAAAGGTGGGCGGGGAGTGATTCGGGGAGAGCCAGATGCACCCAGGATAAAGGCACACCCTCTCTCTGAGTTGCCTCTGCTGGTGCTGGGGGAACCAGCCTTACCTGTAGGTGGGCCAGGGCTGGGGCTCACACAGGGGGCACCGCACTTTACAGTTTGTAGGAGGCAGAGTCTTGGGCTGCGGGGTGCACATAGGACAGCCGCAGGAGCCAGCCGGCCTGGGTTCACTCCTGAGCCTGTGTCCTCATCCAGAAAACAGGGACAATAGTACCTACTCCATGGGACGGTTAGTGGTTCGGATTAGTTCCTGATGCTCAGCAAGCATTGCACGGTAATGAGGGTCAAATGCAAGAGGGTGTGATGAAGAGCTGAGAGCTCTAATCCTGCTTGGGTTCAAATCTTGGCTCTGCCGTTTACAGCTGTGTGGCCTTGGGCAGGTGACCTCTCTTTGGGCTTCAGTGGCCTTCTCTATAAAATGCAGATAGAATCCCTCCTCCCAGGGTGAGTATTAACTAAACAAATGTATGGAGAGGTATCTGGCATGGTGCTATCAGTATAATAAATCATAGATCGGGAGATTGAATTCTGCCTTCTCTACCCATCAGCTGTGTGACCTTGGGCAAGTCACTTGGCATCTCTGAATTTCTGCTTCCTCATCTGTAAAAGGAGAATAATGATGCTGTTTCCTTTATAGGCCTGTGCCCTTAGCACGGTGATTGGCACAAACAGATTCTGAGGATGCTGGGCTAAAGCTGATCCTGCAGGATTGGTATTGCTACTCTATTTTCCAGGTGGAGAAACTGAGGTCCAGAGAGAAAAAACGATTTTGGCAGACCAGTGTGGTCTCCTAGCCCATCTCCTGTCCCACTTCCCCTTGCACCACCAATCTATAGTCTTTGCCGCCTCAGTTTCCCCATTTGGGAAGTGGGTCCTTGGAGGCTCTTCCCACCTGCTGCTTCTCTTGGCAGGATGTGAAGTACCTGGCCATAAGTGGCTTTCTCTTCCTGCGATTCTTTGCGCCTGCCATCCTCACCCCAAAGCTGTTTGACCTCCGGGACCAGCATGCAGATCCCCAGACCAGCCGCTCACTGCTACTTCTTGCCAAGGTGCCGAAAGTGGAGTTCCACATCCTGAGTGTTTTTAGCCTGGAAAAGCATAGGAACAGAGCTGGAAGGCCAAACTGACAGAAGACCCAAACGACACCCAGAGAAATCTGTCTGAAACACCCATTAGCCTTCCATCCCAACTGTGAAGGCATTCGTTCATATGTTCTCTAATTTCGTCTCTTGAAACGAAAACCCTACCCTTCCAGGAGGAAAGTGGGAAGCGGGCTAGTAGTCATTTACACCTTAGTATGAATTAGACCATCCTTTGCAAAGTGGCCATATTTTGAGGTTCTGATGGGCTTCAAAGTATGCATGATAGGATCAGGCAGTCCTGGGTAGGGGAATCAGGCTCTGGAGGGAACAGAATAAGGGCACTGGGGTTGCATATCTCTCCATAGGGAGGGGTAGATATTGCTCAAAGCAGGTGCTGCTGAGTCTTCCCCTTTCATTGAGCACTGATTTGAGAGTTAGGACTCAGGGGCTCTGTTCTGGGCCCACAGACAGCCCTTCCCCTGCAGTGACCTTGGCCCTGGCATCCCTTGCTTCTTTGCTCCAGGCTGTGCAGAGCATCGGAAACCTGGGCCAGCAGCTGGGCCAGGGCAAGGAGCTATGGATGGCGCCCCTCCACCCCTTCCTGCTGCAGAGTATCTCACGTGTGAGACACTTCCTGGACCGGCTGGTGGATGTGGATGAGGAGGAGGGTGAGTCTCTGTGTTCCTGCCACATCTGGCTTGTCACTCTGTGGACCCTCGGGACCTGCCCTTCCCGCCCCGCCCCCACCCCAGCATTGAGACTATGGACCTGTGTGGGTCAGCTAGTCAGTCCACTAACATTTCCTGGCCCCTCCTGTGCTAGGTCCCAGATATGAACAGAGCTCAGGCCCTGTCCTCCAGGCTATTCCAGCCAATGTGGAGATGTGTATGGGTGCTGTCGCATGGTGTGCACACAATAAAAAAAAAATCTACCAAGTGCTTGCTAGACACTGTTCCAGGTGCTGGGGAAACAGCAGTGGACAAGACAGAAGAAATTTCTGCTGTCATGGAAGTTTTATTCTAGCAGGGACCACAGGCTATAAAAAGATGAGTTAGCAAATAATATAGTATGTTTGGGAGTGATCGTGTAGGGAGAAAAAATAATGGAGGGAAGAGAATGTTGGGGTAGGGGTGGCAGGTCGAATTTTTAGGTAGGGTGGCCAAAAATGGCCTCCCTAGGGTGCTACTAGAGCAAAGACCTGAAGGAGGACAGAGAGCAAGCCATGAAGATCCCGGGAAAGAGTATTCCAGGCTGGGAATAGCATGTGCAAAGGCCCTGAGGTGGGGAATGGGGAGCCACAGGGAGGAGCCAATGTAGAAGAGTGAATGAGGGGTCACAAAGGAGAGGTGGGGGCAGATTGTGTGGGGGCTTCATAGGCAGCTGGCCTTTAATGGGGAGTGAAATGGAGCCTGGGACTGTTTTAAGCAGAAGAGTTGGGGCTAAGTCTGTATCACAATGTAGGGCTCAGGGCATGAGAGAGTTGGGTCCAAGTCACATAGGAGGAACCTGTTGGAATGGGGAGCCCTGGTTGTGGCATGGCGGGGTCCCTATGGCGTTGGGGAGGGATCCCGCCCCCAGGGGGGGCTAGATCCCAGGTCCTCCCTGGACTGACTTCCTGAGGCATGTTCCCCCTTCCCTCCCCTCCCCTCCCCCCACCCCCGCTGGTTGCCTGCACCATTATCTACAGAACTTCGGGAGAGGGATCCTGGACACCTGCTTTGTGCTCCCCACCCCGCTTCAATGATCCACTCCCTAATGGAGGGAGTGGAGTCTGCAGCCGTCCTGTTGTTCACCCTCCTGCCTCTAGGGGGGCAGAGAGTCATGCTCATCCACAGAGGCCCTGGGCACACCAGCAGGGCAGGTTGAGCCTGGATATGAGGGGTTCACTGTCCCCCGTTCCCATTTCCCAGAGGCTGGGGGCCCAGCCAGGGCCCTGGTGGCCCCCTCGGTGATTGTTCGTGAAGGTTACCTGCTGAAGCGCAAGGAGGAGCCCGCCAGCCTGGCCACACGCTTTGCCTTCAAGAAGCGTTACTTCTGGCTCAGCGGGGAGACTCTCTCCTACTCCAAGAGTCCTGAGTGGCAGGTGGGCCTCCCGCCCACAGCGGGGGTGGGGTGGGGTGGGGTGTTCCAGCAGTGGCCTCGCTCATTGGGCTGCCTCTCTGTAAGCGGGGGGAAACTGAGGCCCAGGAGGGGGCAAGGACTCAGCAAGTCCAAAGTCTCAGGCCAGGCTCTGCTCACACTTTTGGGCCAGTGTGGGCACAGGACAGACACAGGCATCCACCCCCGACACACACACACCATCAGACGTCCTTCAGAATGTGCACTTGTGGTGGTCCGGACCCCCCCCCCACCCCAGGTGTGGACACACACAATGCTTAGCCACCCTCCAATGCTCCCACCCAGGCCAATGCCTATGAGCTATCCTACTCACGTAAAATTAGATCTGTTCGCTCAGATGTCCCTGCCTGGCGGTATAGGTACACATACCAGGCATTTATTCACTCGGTCATTCATCAAACATTTATTGAGTGCTTACTGTATACCATGCAGTGTTCTACGCACTGGACATACAGCAGTAAACAAGACATAAAATCCCTGTTCTTACGGGGTTGCCACTGAAATCCAGCGACAACTCAGGTACCTGCTGATGTGTACGCATTTCTCTGTCTGCACATCTGTGAATAATAGCTAACACTGGACGGGGTGTACTTGTTCATTATTCCCACTTCGTCAGCAGAGCATAGATTCTAGAGTTCCAGTCCCTGGCTCCACTAGCTGAGTAACTTCAGGAGGGTCATGGATCCTCCTGGGCCTCAGTTTCCTCCTCGGCACATAGACCCGGCCTCAGAAATTGGTGTAAAGTGATAAATGCAGAGTGCTAGAAAGCACATCCCATCTGCCATCTCGGGTTGCTGTGCTGATTGATGACAGTGATGGACACTGGTGCCCAGGGGAGTCCACGCTTCCTTAGAGGGTGATGGGGCAGGTCTGGGGGACTCAGTGCTCGAGACAGGGGTCATGCGCCCAGATTACAGACACACCCCCAGGGAACATCCCCTGAGACACGCCTCCAAAGGAAAGCTGTCCCTGGGCCCCGACGCCCCGGGCCCCAGCCCACCCTGCAGCGACAGGCCTGTCTCCCAGATGCGCTCCTCCGTCCCGGTGTCGCACATCCGCGCCGTGGAGCGCGTGGACGAGGGCGCCTTCCAGCTGCCGCACGTGATGCAGGTGGTAACGCAGGACGCCGCCGGCGCGCTGCACACCACCTACCTCCAGTGTAAGGTGAGGCGTGGCAAGGATGGGGCGGAGAGCGTCCCTTCGGTTCCCACCCCTGACCGTCCCCCCGCACCCCCGGGCTCCCTGCAGAATGTGAACGAGCTCAACCAGTGGCTGTCGGCCCTGCGCAAGGCCAGCGCCCCCAACCCAGACAAACTGGCTGCCTGCCACCCCGGTGCTTTCCGCAGTTCGCGCTGGACCTGCTGCCTCCAGGCTGAGCGCTCAGGTGAGGCGGCAGGGTGGGCCCAGGTTCCGCCCTCCCTACCTGTCGATCAGCAGATGTCCCACCTCCGTCTGAGCTGCTGTGCAACCTCGGGCAAGTTACTTAACCTCTGTGTGCCTCAGTCTCCTGAAGCGGAAAATAGGGTTGATGACAGTACCTGCCTCCTAGGGCTGTTGGGAGGATTGAGTGAGTTGATATACACAACGCCCTTAGAACACTGCCGAGCACATAGTGCTCATTACATGTGAGGTATTGTTTTTTAAGTACCTACTATGTGCCAAGCATCTAGTGGTACACAGACATCAGGCTTGCTCTGGAGGAAGACAAATGACTGACCAGACAATTGTAATACAGTCTTCTAAGTACTAAGATGAGGCTTTTTTTAAAAAAGATTTTATTTATTTAGTTGACAGAGAGACACAGCGAGAGAGGGAACACAAGCAGGGGGAGTGGGAGAGGGAGAAGCAGGCCTCCCGCGGAGCAGGGAGCCCGATGCGGGGCTCGATCCCAGGACCCTGGGATCAGGACCTGAGCCGAAGGCAGACGCTCAACGACTGAGCCACCCAGGTGCCCCTAAGATAAGGCTTTTGAAACTCCAGAGCATGCCTCTGACCCAGCCCCAGAGTAGGAGATCAAGGAGGGCTTCCTGGAGGAGGTACTGTTTAGATGTGACCTGAGGAGAGGAGGCGTTAAGCAAGGAAGTTAGAGACAGGGATGGGGTAAGGAAGTGTTGTAGGCAGAGCAAAGAGCACAGGCAAAGGCCCGGAGGTGGCACAGGGAGGGCTGAAGGACTGAAAAGGGTCTTCGTGGCTGGAGCCCGGACTGTGGGAGGAGGCTAGAGGGAAGTGAGGCTAGGGCTCTGCTGGGCGGGAGTGGAGGCAGTGGGGCTTGATGGAAGTAGTAGGTTGGAAGAGGGATCTTAGAGGCAGAAGGCTCGGGGCTTGGGGACCATCTGTCGCGGGGACTTTTAGAGGGGGCAGTGGGAAGCGGTTCTGATGGCGCTGTGTCCCCCTCAGCTGCTGGTTGCAGCCGCACACACTCGGCTGTCACCCTGGGGGACTGGAGCGACCCACTGGATCCCGACGCTGAGATCCAGATGGTGTATCGGCGGCTGCTCCTGGGGCGGGACCAGCTCAGGTGGGTGCCCTTGCCCAGCCCACTTCCCCCGTGATGACCAGCCAGGCCACCTGCCCAGCATGGCCTCCCACATTCATTTATTCATTCCTTCCATCCGCTTCAGCTGAGCTTCCCGGTGCGCGGTGTGCAGGCTCAAGCAGGGGACTGGGAGTCGTCTACAGGCAGGCCCCAATGCAGAAGTGGGTCTTGGGTCTTTTAATATCCGGGTCCCTTCAGACATGGCCACAGACCTTGGATGCGTTCCTTTTCCTTCCTTGTGGGCTTCACCCCTATTCAGTGACTGATTTGTTCCAACTCCTTCTAGAGTGGGTTCTGAAGCTGGCCTGCCTGGCTTCGAATTCTGGGCTAGCCACTTACTGGCTGTGTGATCTCGGGCACATTGCTTACCCTCTCTGTACCTCCGCTTCCTCATCGGGAAAATAGGGATAGTAATGGTACCTTCCTCATGGGGTTGTCCTGAGTGGTCCAATGAGCTAATACAGGTGAGGCATTTTGTAGATGCCTGGTCACAGCTTTCAATACACGGTAACAGTTATGCTGTGCAACCTTAGGCAAGTTACTTTACCTCTCTGTGTCTGGACTGTATAATGGAATCAACAGTAAGTACCTACCTTGGATACATTTTTTGGTGATACTTAAATGAGTTGATACATGTGAAGGGTTTATAATAGTGTCTGGCATTCTTAAGTATTTGATGTGATGGTGGTGGTGGTGATGGTGACTAGTGGGAGACAGTCACGTCTCCTGCAACCAGCAGAGAATCTCTGGGGTGGAGACCAAGATTGGGAATCAGGGACCAACCTTGTCTTTCTCCCTTTCAACTTCCAGGATGAAATTCCAGGAGGATCCCAACACAGATTCAAGCCCAGAGGCAGATGCAGAGAAGAGTTCCGGGGCCACGGAAGGTAAGGGGCTAAGGAGGTCCCCTTTCTTCGCCGTCTCTGTCCCCTGCCATAACTTGCCGAGCCCACTCTTATGTCCTTCCCCACAACTCTCCCCTTCGCAGTTCACCAGCAGGTGTGGTGAGTAGGGTGACGGAGTGTGTGGGCTCTCAGGGCCAGCCTGGAGCCTGAGAAAGCCATGGGGTCTGGGTTATGGCAGCCCTCCCTGGCCTGGCTGAGCCCCCACGGCTCCTTGTCTCCCTCACAGGGGCCTGTCCCGATGCCCTGGCCCGGCCGAGAGAGGCAGCCGCCCGCCTGCTGGAGGTGCTCGCGGATCTGGACAGAGCCCATGAAGAGTTCCAGCAGCGGGAGCAGCAGAAGGCAGCCCTGGGCCCCCTTGGGCACTAAGGAGATGCCAGAGCCAGCCTGGAAGGAGGTGGAAGGAGCCAGTGGGCCCTTCTCAGTGCACCCTGGCCCCTTGAGGCTGTCCTGTACCTCGTTGATGCTGTAGGGTGGAGGCTTCTGGAGATCTCCTAGTCTCTGTGCCCTAAGTCCAGAACCCTGGGCATGGAAGCCCTCTGGCAGGGGGCTGGCCTTTGTACTGAATGAATCTCAGTCTCTGGGCTGAGGCAGATGGGAGTGGACGGGATAAGCACCCCGACTCATTCCGCTCAGCGGAAGGTCTCTGCTAAACCAGACTGGCCTCTGCCCACACTGACCAAGCCAGCCTGGTCCCGAGCTGCTAGATACAGCTGTACGTGAATCCCCGATACCCACGTGGCCTTGTTGCCCCAGACAGGCACTAAAGAGGCTCAGCCCTTCCTGTTTTCATGTTTTTGCCAATCCGTGTAACCTTACTGATCCTCCCGAACCCTGCCTTGCCGAGAGTCCTAACCACAAGCGTCTAGAATCAGGCTCCCTCGGGAATAACAGAGGCTTGGACCCCAGTGTGCCAGACTTAGATCCTTGGATCCTGGGAGACCTTGGGCTAGGTTCTGATCCCCTCTTCGAGCCTCAGTTCATGCTGTATAAAATGAGGGAGTGTCTAGATGTGTGGTTGTCAAACTGGGTTCCACGGGGCTGGCTTGGGAGCCAGGGAGGGGGTTTCTTAGACTGTGGTCCAAAACTCACCCCCTAGGTTGTCTGCTAGAAATGCAGATTGTTGGACCCCATCGATTTACTAAATCAGAATCTGCGGGAGTGTGGGCACAAGGATCAGGATTTTTAACAAGATCCCCCGGTGATATGGTCGAACACAGGATTTGATGATCAAGGGGCTGGGCAATTATGTATAGTAAGGTTTGAAGTGAGATTTCGTTTGAGAAATAATCATAGAGGGTAAAATATTTGGGAACACCCAACTGACAGAACTGGAAGGGCCTCCAAGGACTCATTTCTGGTTTCGTGTGACTGGAGTGTGGGACAAAAACCAAAGCATATCTGGAGATAAGGGGGACCCGGAAAGATGCAGTGCTATCCCAAGTGTGGCCAGCAGGGGTCGCCTGGAGCCGCAGCATCCGCCACAGCCACCCAGCATCCTGGGATGCTGCCGAGCTGATAGGAAGCTTGTTGCAGATCCTGGGATGTGTCCCTAGACAGAACCGGGCCCTCCTGCCTTAGGGCAGGGTCTGGGGCTCGAGGAACCAGTCACGGTGTATCCCAGCTCCTCCATGTTTTCCCGTAGGCTCTCAGCTCCCAGCCCAAGTCCCTCATTCCCAGTACTGTACCGGGGAGCAGCTGTGTGCATTGTCTCGTGCCGTGCTTGAGAACAGCACCTTCAGCCCTGCCCTTTTGGGGACTAGGGTTGGAGGGTCTGCCTCTGTCACCTTCACACTCCCTGCATACCCCAAGACAAGAGAATTATGGGGACCCTCAATCTCCAGCTGCCCAAGGCTGAGAGGGGCAATGGTCCTGGGGTCATCATTTTGTTGTAAGCTCCCCGACGGGGTGGGCCAGAGGCCCCCAGGAACAGAGCCACCCACCCCCGACCCCTCTTGGCAGGAAAAGACTGAGTGAGGAGGAGAAAGACCATTTATTTCTCCACCCACAGTGGGACTGGTAGGTTTTCAAAAGAGCAATCTCTTGCGTCCCTTTAAATCTTGGCTGACTTCCACCGTGGCAGCCAATCAACAGAGGCGGAGCTGGTGAGTTGCCTGGGCAACAGGCCCCTGGTTGGCCAAGACCATCAGCCACCCCACTGCCCACTCCCAAGGAAAGGGAAATGGACTCTTTGCTGTCCGGTCTGCTTTTTAGACCTGCTGGCCTAAGCTAGGCCTTCTCGTCTTGCTCCTGAAGCCAGAAGCTCCAGCCTTTGGATCTCGACGTTTGGGAGTGATTTGGTGGAGAGGATGGGGTGGGGAGGAAAGGAGAACAGTGCCTTTATCTGGGACAGACATAAGGCCTGGGGATGGGAGGGGAGAAGAAGGACGTCAGAGTCCCAGAAGGATGAAGAGACACAAGCACAAAATAAGATCCCTCTGGTCCCCCTCTCTCTGGCCTGCCCCTTTGCTAACCTGCTGACTAATCTGGGGCTTCTACCCCATGGGCCCACAACTGCCCATCAGTGGGTGGCAGAGATGGGTGACAGAGATGGGGGGAGGCTGAGCTTCCCAAGGGCCCTTTTCCCCTCAGAGCCCCAGCAGGGCCCCAGGTGCTTGACCTGAATCCCGTCTGCAGACAAGCTGTACGGAGATGATGGAGACACAGATGGGAATCCATATGGGGTATCACAGGGGTCTTCTGTCTCTTCCCCCCGAGTCTGGGGTTAAGTAGAGGCACGTGGGTGTGCGTGCATGTGTTCAACAGGACACGTGTGTTTGCATGAGGGGGTGGGGCTCTGTCTTTTTGGTAGGGAGGTTGCTGTGGTTCCTGGTACTCTCTCTGCCACCCTCTCGGGGAGCTACAAGTCGGAGCTGGCTGGCCTGCCATCCTCCCGGCATATTCCAACTACCTCCAGCCACATCTCCAGAAAGCTTCTGGCTCCTTCTGCAGGCTCCTCCCTAGCCCTGAACCTGGGCCACCAGGACACACCTGGCAGAGGGAGGCAAGTGCCGGACCAGGGGGCCAAGCAGGAGGGAAGGTGGGCAGCCTCGGGCCTCAGGCCTTGGCTGCAGCCTCGGACACGCCCTGGGCTGTGAGCTCGGCCAGCACATTGTCTAGGTAGCTAGCGTCCGGGTAGCCGTGGCCTGTGAGGTTGGACCCAAACTCGGTCTTGTGGTGGATCTCGTTCCATACCACGGTGTCCGACTCGCCCGTGGTGTTGGATGTGCCGATGGTGAAGATGAGTCTCCGCTCCCAGGCGGTGATGAGCAGCCTCAGCACCTGGCGGGTAGGCACCAGGACAGGCGCGGGGGTGAGGGGAGGGCCCGGGCAGCCCCGCCCTGTGGCTGGAGCCCCCTCCTCCCCCAGCCCAGCCTCCCTCCCTCCCTGGCCACACTGTGGCTCCGTTAATGCCTTCTAAGCCTGCAACATTACCAGTGGCCGCCCAGCGTGGCCACTTCCCTGGATGGACTCCCAGTAAGAGCTCTTTCCAGGTTATCTGCCTGTTTCATCTGGGTCTCAAATTGAAGGCCCTCAGCTGTGTCTGGTTTACTAAATGGCCATTTTGTGACTTCTTTGGCAATGTTCAAAAACCCGGAGATTTTACATGAAAATCAGGAGATCTGGCTTCTCTTGAAAAACAAGAAGTGAAGCCGACAATCCGGAGTGTGGTGGTGAAGAGCCTGGACTGCTTGGGTTGAAATCTGGGCTCTCCCACTTACTAGCTGTGTGACCTTGGGAAAGTCACTTGCCCTGTCTGAGGCTTCTGTAACATGGGGTCAAGACCTTGACCTCACCAAGCTGGAAATGAGATGGGGGGTGTGAAGCAACTGGCAGGGCTGGACTCGCACTAGGAGGTAGTGGTCGATGCTGGTGCAGGGAGGAAACAGGGATTGAGGGTGAGGGGGAACCTGGCCAGCTCCCACACCCCTGCACCCTCAGGGCACCCACCTTCCGGCCCTTCTCGTTGTTGGGCAGATAGCAGTGGCGCGGGAAGCCTCTTGCGGTGAACTTCTTGCCTGGGTTGGGGTGCTCGGGGCCCTGTGGGGAGGGGAGCAGGTGCTTGAACCATGGACAGGTGTGGGGGGGCCTCTGCAGGGTTCAGAGTTGAGGCCAGAGGGGTGGGAAGGGAGGGCTCACCTGGATGCCTGTGGGGATGTCGTAGACAATGCGGATGGTCTGGGTGTCAGCGAAGCCCGGCAGCGAGTGGGGGATGAGGTGGAACTCCATCTTCCCGGGCGGCTGAGTGCCCGTCTTCTCTCCATAGATGGCCTTGCAGGTGGGGCACTGCAGGCTGCCATCCTGGGGCGGGGGGGGGGGGGGAGGCTGGCGGTGAGGCCCGCAGGTATCCCGGCCCCGCCCCTCCGCCTGCACCACCCACTGGCTCCACCCACTGGCCCGCGCGGCCCACCTTGTTGCCATTGGAGTACATGGCCACGAGGCACAGCAGGTGGTACATGTGGCCGCAGCGGCCCAGGCGGCCCACAAGCTCGGGCCGCACGCCCCTGTGCCGAAGCACGCCCTCGTAACCGGATGCTGTGACCAGGCGCTCCATGCAGATGGTGCAGTCCTGCGGGCAGGGGCACAGAAGGGAGACTGAGGACTGGCCAGGGCAGGACACCCTCAGGTCAGAGCTGCCCCTGGGAGGATCCCAAGGGTGGCAGATTGCCCCAGCCTCCGGTACCCATTTGGCAAAGGGAGAGGACACTCCCATATACTGAATGCAGATACATGGCAGAGGAAGACAGGGCTCCCTGGCACCCCCATCCAGAGGGATTAAAGGCTTAACTATCGAAAGCAAAACTTAAACATGGGGTGTAAAATACGGGTGAAAATAAGATACGAAAAGTGTCACTCATCAGGAGATTGATAAACGTGATTCTATTAAACCTGTTTATCAGAAGACATTGCATAAAAAAGGTGTTGGGGCGCCTGGGTGGCTCAGTCGGTTAAGCGTCTGCCTTCCGCTGGGGTCATGATCCCAGGGTTCTGGGATCGAGCCCCACATTGGGCTCCTGGCTCAGTGGGAAGTCTGCTTCTTCCTCTCCCTCTGCCTGTGCCCCTGCTCATGATCTCTCTCTCTCTATCTCTGTGTCTCAAATGAATAAATAAAATCTTTAAAAAGAGAGAGAGAGAGAGAAAAGGCGAACCCCCAAACTGGGAGGAGAGATTGTGACACACAGAACCACGGGAGAGGGTGTAGAGGATGGGAGGTCAAGGGCTGGGGAAGCGAGGGCGCCGCCCTCTGCCCAGTCCAGGACCCTCCCGCGGGGGCTCACCTCATCGGGCGGGTTCTTCACCTTCTGCATGTACCTTCGAACCACATCCTCGGGGTTCTTGCCTGCAAGGACACAGCGGGGTGGGCTCGAGGGTGCCTAGAATCTCCCCCTGAGGGCTTGGCTCAGGATGGGGTCAGGGGTCAGAGAGGGGTTGGCAGGAGTCGCCTTTCAGCTGTTGCTGCAATCAGAGTTGGTGGCAGAGGGGGTCAGGGGAAAGGGAGCTGGGATCGGGAGATGGAGGTGGAGTTCTAAGTCCTAAGAACAAATTGGAGGGTGGGGTCAGAGGGGTTGGGGTAAAGAGTTAGGTTAGTGGGGTCGGGGTCGGCGCGGAAGGCGTACTCTTCTTGAGGTGCTTCTTCTTGGTCTTGCGGCACACCCCGGGCACGCCGGGCACAGGCTTGACGTCGCTCTTGCTCACGGGCGGCGGGTGCAGGATGGGCTTGGGGGCCCGCGTCAGGCACACGGGCAGGCCCGCCGCACACAGCAAGATCCCGGTCATCCCTGGGGAGAGGGCGGGGCCGTCAGGGGGCGTGGCGCCCACCTGGTCCCCGCCCACCTGGTCCCCTTTGGGCGGGCGCCAGGGGCCTCCCCCAGGCCCCGCCCACCTGCTTGGCCCAGGAATCCTGGGGCCTTCAGGTCAGGATGGGCCGGGGGCTCCCTGGGCCCCACCGCGGGTGGAAGCCGAGTGGAATGCCTTCTGCGGGTCTCGCCCTCCCCAGTGTCAGGGTCCAACGGTAGGGGCGTTTCCTCTGGGCCCCGCCCACCAGCCCCGCCAGGGGGCGGAGTCACAGGGCAGACAGGTGGGGCCGCCTCCTCGTGGGCCCCGCCCTTCTGTCCCTCCAGGGCTGGATCTCACCTGCCAGGGCCGGATGGACCGGCCCGGTACCATTCAAGTTCTTCACTGGGAGCGCGGGGACCCTGAGGGGAGAAAAGAGGCCGCAGCTGGACTCTAGCCCCGCACACCGGAAGATCAGGGGATCCTGCTTTGCATTCTGGCTCTTGGGCATACTCTGACCTCTTTATGCCTGTCCTCGTCATTTAGAATGATCACCAGGGATATAGGCACCCTTCTTTTATGGGGCGGGGTGTGATTGGGATATCTGCCCCAGTTATAAAGTAATGGATCCCTAGACTTACTCCTTTCTTACCCACTCCTCAGCTGGCCTCCCTTGCGAGAGCTTGGGGTCCAACAGTTCCCTTCTACTGGCCACTGTGCCTGAAACCCAACTGTGATGATGTAGCCATTCCAACATTTCTCCCCATAAAAGGTTCTGGGAAAGAGGCATTCCGGGATCAAATAAGTTATGAAACACTTCACTGTCTCCTTGAAAATTCACAACATATATGAGCACATTGAAGGCTCTGATAAGTCCTGCATAAAGAAATGTGATTAGGAATGATAAATCCAGGTTTTCCAAAGACATTTTACAATGAACATGTTTTTCGTCTCTCGAAGATCTACTGATGTCAGTTCCTATAATCGAGGCATTGACCCTCTTCAAACGAAGAGGCCTTAGGAAACCATAGCCTGCTTCCCCTCTTTGCCCTCCCCCACCAAAGAGCTCTGGCTTTTGAAATCAGCCAGAGCTGCTCTCATATCTCAGCTCAAGCACTAACTGGCTGGGTGTCACACAGCACAGTACCTCTCATAAGCCTGTCTCCCATCTGTAAAATGGCACCGTCCTTATGTTTGCTGTGAAGAGTCCATGAAATTCTGCACGTCAAGGGTCCAGCAGAATTCCTGGCACCTAATAAAGACTTGAAAGGCACTACCCATCACCAACACCCCACTGATGCGTAAGCCTGGCTGAAGCAGTTTCACCTCTCTGCACCTCGGCCCACTGAGTCACAGTGTATCTTCCCTTCCCCTTGGAGAGGAAACCATGAAAGTATTGCAGTGACAAGCTTAGGCAAGTTACTGAACCTCTGTAACCCTCTGTTTCCTCATCTGAAAAATGGGGATAATCATACCTCACCCCCAGGGCTGCTGGGAGGATGGAATGAGAAGGGTTGCGGCAATCTGCATACTGTGCCCGTCTGAGGCTTCACTACTTCAGCGCTGGGTTACATAGGTGAACTACAGTCGGGCTGCTGAAGCGCTGGATGGATAAGTCTCGATGAAGACATGTGTTCTCAAAGCCAGGGGAGCCAGAGGGGCTTGGGAGGTGTGCCAGGAGGGTGTGCAGGAAGGGATGGGGGCAGGGACAGCTGGGGAAGTTGCCGCTACCACCCCCTTTGCCTGCCTGCTAAGTTCTGAGCCTGGCCAGTGCTGCCCGGTCATCAGCCCCTGGCAGGCACAGTCGATCCCGGGCAGCCGGCTGGGAAGCATCTTTAAGCAAATGGTATGCTTGGCAGGCTTGGGCGCAGCTGCAGTGGATCCAGAAACACACACACACACACACACACACACACACACACACTCACACTCCTGGGGAATAGGCGCTCTATTTCCAAGCACACATATACAAGTGTTACACACACCACACATACAGGTACACACACCTCACATACAGGTACACAGATACACACACACACATAACATGGAGAACACTGCACAAACAGGTACCTCCCCCCCCCACACACACATCCCAGGAAGCTCCTTCCCCAGACACAGACACAGAATACATGTGCGCGGAGAACACAAAGCCACACACATTTGCATGCAGACACACAAACACACCAACACACTAGGGAACATTGCCATGCACACATATATCCAAAGACACACACAGACGCATCTCAGGGAATACACCCCTCACAAACATACACGGATTCAGACACACACATACACACACACACACACACACACACACTTCTGCATGGTAAACACCACACACGGAGGCACACCCATGCACACACCGTGAGGGCATGCCATCAGACAAGAGGAGCCAGCTCATGCAGCCACCCACTGCACATGGGGACACGTGCAGACACACAGACACATAGACACACGGCTGGGGAGGCCCACATTTTGCACAGAGTCCTATGCACCCATCACTGCACACAGCCTCTCCACTCTGCCTGCTCAGCAACACAGACTTAATCTGGGTCCCCTGCAGCACTTCTCCCAGAGCCTTCTGAGGGTGTGGAGAGTGTCTGGAGCAGAATCGGGGTCATCGAACACTGTGGTGACCTGAACCACTGAACACAGCCCTAGAGGGGGGTGCTATTGGTGGGCAGGTGCCATGGGACCCCCAGCACCTGGTCAGTTGAGGTGTGTGTGTGCAGAAAGGTGCTGTGCCTCAATTTCCCCATCTGTAATGGGGATAAAGCCTTGTGAGGGTTCAGCGAGTTAAAACATGCAAAGCTCATAGTTTGGTGCAGGGGTGTGAGTGGAGAAGGATTTTGTCCTTCTAGCAGCCTGCTGGGACCCAAGAGACGGGGCTGAGTTTCCATTTGACCCTCTTGGGGCCTGTCATAATCCTCCAGGACCTCCCTGCGGGGTATCACCTAATCTCACCCCTTCCCCTACTCTTACAGGAAAGCAAAGGGGCATGTACCTCAAGCTTCTCCTCTTCCCTGCCCCGTCCTTCAAAAGAGCTCTAGTGTAGGCACACCACGAAGGATCTCAATATATCTCGGTCTCCCCTACCTCCTTTCTTCCTGTCTCATAAAAAAAAAAAAAAATCCTCCCTTTTCTCCAGGGCTATCTATAAAATGGATGGCAAAAACAATATTTAGTATGCAAACCACTACTCCTTGTCTCCTACCTGTGGCAGACATCACTAATCCATCACAGCACTCTCAAGCTGAGCAGAATCTTCAGCACAGCCTCTGCTAATCAGTGAGGACAGTTCGCTACCCCAGGTCTATCTAATGACCAGCATCTGGTCCAGCTCATGACCTTGGTCTTGCTGAGTCTTTGGCCTGGGATTTAGGCAGGGGGGCACCTCAGAAAGGGAAGGTTTCTAAATCTTGGCTGCCCTACAATTTCTGGCAACACTTAAAAACCACAGAGCCCAATTTACAAAAATTTGTCTTGCTCCTGGGAAGGTTGTAGATAGGGTGTGACAGTGGGGCTGTTTTTTATTTACTCATCATGAGCTAGGGAACAGTGTGAAGGCAGCCCCCAGCCTCTCTGAATCTGCAGGCCCCCTGAGAGAACCCAGGGTAGCAGGGTTCCCACGATGCCCCAGCGTGGGAGCCACCCGGGGCCCCCTTTTGATGTGGGATGCGCTGTTTCCTCCGAGTCAGCGAACACATCCTCCTGCCCTGGACAAGAGTTTGCTGCCCGCAGACCTCCCGGAAGGGGGCAGGCCTGCACTCTCTGCTCCACCCTCTTGGGGCTCAGCCTGACAAAGGGTAGTAGGAAGCCATCAGGCCCCCTTGAGATCTGTTCTGACCAGAAGCCAGGCCCAGCCACCCCAAGGTGGAGATGGGTCCCACTGCCACGCTGGTTTTCTTGCTGTCTTTCCCACCTCTGCATCAGGTCCTATCTTCCTCTGCCCTCAACCCCGCACAGATCCTACCTTGCTCAGAGTAAAAGCCAACCTCCTTACCCTATCTGAGATAGCCAATACCTACCCCTTGAACTCTGTTTCCCCTGTGGTCACCCCTCACCCATTCCACCCCAGCCTCCCTGCTCTTCGTGCTGTTCCTCGAACACACCAGCCACATTCCCACCCCGGGGCCTTTGCACTTGCTGATCTCTCTCTCCCAGAATGCTCTTCCCCAGATATCCTCATGCCTTGAACATTCACTTAACACAGATTTCTGCTCAAATGTCACCTTATCAGAGAACTTCCTTACCATTTTACTCCAGAGAAATCTCTGTCTTTGCATTACCTTATCGACTGATTGATTGTCCCAGCACTAACCATGACCTGATTAGAAAGTCTTTGATCTGACCAGGCCCTCCCTGCCTCTGTGACCTCATCTCCTAACCCCTCCATCTCTCTTCTCTGGACACATCTGCTGTGGCTTTAACCCACTGAGCATAGTCCCCTGTCAAGGCCTTTGCACTTGCTGTGCCCTCTGCCCCCAGGCTTCCCCCCCAGATGCTGAATGGCTCTCCTAGTGCTCTGCTGCAATGCCACTTCCTCAGAGACATCTTCCTTGACCACCTGACTTCAACCCTAGTACACAGCACATAGCAGGTGTTTGATAAACACTTGTTGCATGAAGGAAGGGAGGCTGAATTTGGTGGGAACATTCTGAGCAGGTGACTCACGAGCACATGCTCCGGTGCATTCTCCCCATGTGTTCTCTGCACATATTTGAAGTGAGCCTTGAAGCAGGTGTCCCAGGGAAACACCGTCTGCAGCCTCTAGTCCCCTGGAGCTTCTCTGCCAGTACTCATGCTGAGGCGGCATCCTGCCCAACAGCCCAAGCAAACATCCCCTGAGAAATTCCCAGAAATGCTCTGCATCCCACTTGGGGCAGAGGTTTCATGGTGAGGTTTAGGGGAACCCGGGCATTGCACAGAAATTGTCTTAGCGAATGTGCCACACAGAGACAGACAGTGGGGTGTTCTCCCTGGTCAAAAATTCTCACTATGGGCCCGATGCTGTTGTCCTGCTTCACTCCCTTATCTAATCGTACCCCAAAGTCTGTGACATCTGTCTACAGAGAGCAAAAAACTGAGGCCCAGAGAGCTGAAGTAATTTACCAGTGGTAGAGCCAGGATTCCAGCCCAGGCTGTCAGACTTCAGAGTCTGTGCTCTTAGCCATATGACATGAACCAAGTTCCCTCACCATGGCTTAGCAGCCCAGGCAGGAGGCTCTGTCTGAGAGAAAAACCTCCGGGATTAGTCTGGGAAAGAGGGGTGGAGTGTTTGGGTTTCCTCCTTGCCAAGGAAGAGCAGAGATGCTTCATATCTACGCCGGTTGGAAGGCAATGCTCAAAGGCAGTATGAGATAATGTGAGATTTTCCTAGCTGCTGTTCCTCACACTGTTCCCTGCCCTTTTCCTGCCTGGGCACCTTTGCCACACTGTTCCTCCTGCTTGTCCCTACTGTCTATTTCCAATTCACATCTGTTCTTTGAAGACAGGTTCAAAGGCCACTGTCTTCATGAGGCCTTTTCTGATCTACCTCAAGTGGATTCATAGCCACCCCCTTTTAATTCCCAAGGGACGTTTCTCCCTCCCTCTCCCTCCCTCTCTCTCTTTCTTTCTTTTTTAGGATACAGACATTTTATGTTGCTTTCTGGTTTTGTGGTTCCACTTCTATCTCTTGAGCCAGATTGTGAGCTTCTAGAAATGTGTCTGAATCAGCCTTGGGGCCCTAGGATTGCGGATGAAACTCCATGCAAAGGGGTTCTCAGGAAGTACTGAATGGAAGAGTTGAACCAAAGAAGAAATTGGCCTGCTAGCTCTGTGGTCCC